TCACTCTGACCTCTCACCCTCTCCTAGACGCCTCTCTGGTTGGCTGCTCTCGCTTCCCTTCTCCCTTTCCTGGCCCTCACACTGACCTCTCGCCCTCTCCTGCGTTCCACATTGGACCTCTCACCCTCTCTGGTTCGCACATGACCTCTCGCCTCTCTGGTTCTCACATTGACCTCTCACCCTCTCCTGGCCCTCACTCTGACCTCTCACACTCTCCTGGTCCTCACACTGACCTCTCACCCTCTCCTGGTTCTCACATTGACCTCTCACCCTCTTCTGGCCCTCACTCTGACCTCTCATCCTCTCCCGGCCCTCACACTGACCTCTCATCCTCTCCTGGCCCTCACTCTGACCTCTCACCCTCTCCTGGTTCTCACATTGACCTCTCACCCTCTCCTGGCCCTCACTCTGACCTCTCGCCCTTCTCTCTTGCCTCTCTCGTTCCCTAGTCGATTGCCGCTGTGGGACCTTGGCTGCCATGGTCCTTAGACTGGACAAATAGGCCTTTTTTACCGTTGTCTCGTGGAAGGGGTTTGTGCTATGACAATTCTACGTATTTTTCTAGCTCTATCTGTCTAACCTCTATGGCTGCGAGGGCGAGAATTTTAATCCTATTTAATCCTACATCTTTTTTTATCCCTTTATAACAAAACAAGGATATAGTATTGATCCAAAAATCCGCGCCGTGGGATATGCGACATTCTCTCTTATTTCGGCGAGAGAGCGAGTGGCGCGTGTTTATAGTTTGGAGAATTTTCGGCAGATGTCGCCACGGACCATTGGCTGTCACAAGACTTTTACTGAGAGCACTTAATCAATTCAAATCTTAATTCTTTCGTTAAGGGAACATGTTTTCGCATTCAAGACGGGCAAAAAAGAGAGAGAAAAGAAGACGAACAACGGCGTATTTTCCGTCGAAATGATAGGTGACGCGGCGGCACAAAAAATCAATTTACACCCAACATATGCCGTCTGCACGCAACCCTCTCGCACACCGTAAAACCGTTTCGCATTTCTAAAACTGGCTCTTACGTCTGCCAGTGTGGGTACAGACGCGATAACGCCACAGAGGAACAAACTTTTCATAAGCGAAATTATGGACGAGAGTAAAATCATTCTCAGAATTTATGTTGTTATTTTAGGATCCCTCTTGGCGCGCGCCTTAACGTCTTTAAACCTACATTTTTTCGCTTGATATTTGCTGAATCATGGTATAGGCTTATAAAAATAATTTCAAAAACGAAATTTTGGACGACAGTAAAATCATTCTCAGAATTATGTTTATATTTAGGATCCCTCTTGGCGCTCACCTTAACGTCTTTAAACCTATATTTCTTTCGCTTGATCTTTGCTGAATCATGACATAGGCTTATAACAATCTTTTCAAGAGCGACATTTTGGACGAGAGTAAAATCATTCTCAGAATTATGTTTATATTTAGGATCCCTTTTGGCGCTCACTTGAACCAATATATAACCTAAATAACATATAAACCTATATTTCTTTCGCTTGATTTTTTTACGCTTGATATTTGCTGAATCATGACATAGGCTTATAACAAACTTTCCTAGAGCGACATTTTGGACGAGAGTAAAATCATTCTCAGAATTATGTTTATATTTAGGATCCCTTTTGGCGCTCACTTGAACCAATATATAACCTAAATAACATATCAAACCTATATTTTTTTACGCTTGATATTTGCTGAATCATGACATAGGCTTATAACAAACTTTCCTAGAGCGACATTTTGGACGAGAGTAAATCACCATTCTCGAATTATGTTTATTTTAGATCCCTCTTGCGCGACTGTACTTACTCTCGTACTTAAACCTAATAATATTTTTTTCGCTTGATATTTGCTGAATCATGACATAGGCTTATCCTTGAGGTCTTGGAAAAGAGAAAAAAAATCCACACTCCTCCCAGATTTATAAGAAATACCGCAAAGCCAGAAAATCTTGGAGAATTTTCACATTTCCTCACAAAATTTAGCAAAACCGCTTTGTACAAAGTCACTTTTTGGGATCTATTTCTCCCTGAAAAGTCACGTTCATTTCAAGTGTTTCAATGTTATTCTCAGTCTGATTTTCAAATAATTCTGAATGAAATTGTTGAATCTCTCTATTTCTATAATAATTTCATATCATTGTCTTTTCTTTTTTTCAGTTCATCTATTCATTTCGAAAGAATGTTGTGTCGTCTATTCTTTCCCAAAAATGCTGAAATGAAACCTATTTCTTATTTAACATATATCGGCCACACATTTTCTTGAAACCCTTATTAAAGATGAAAACTTTAGAATATTATCAAAAAATGATGAACAATAAAAATAAGGAATAAAACATACAAAAAATTAAAACTTATATACCGGTTCTATACTTATCGAATTCAATGATTAAAAATCTACGGCTTATATTAACTAAAAATGAAATAATCATAATTCAACTGTATATAACACGCCTTATTATACGGCTTTCGTGTGCATAATTCGCGTGCACGGATCAAATATAAATAAAGCATAAAACAAATGAATATTCAAACACAATATTAGATAAACCTTCACTTGCTGGCTCATCACTAATCAAGCTTCGTGTCACAATCAGCAGCTTACCGTATACCCTCACAACTAACGTCAACCACACTCATACTCCCCCTCTTCCCTCTACCCCTCTCTCAAATTTACACGAAGCAAAACCTCTCCTTAAACCGAAAACATACACCTTTCCCCCCTCCCTTTCCCTTACGTTACCCTCTTCTGCGACAAAACTGATCTTACTTTCTCTCTTAACGAGGGCTTTAGTCTCCCTTACCGCTCGCTGTACATTCGGCGCACCTAAGTGTACTTCTTATTCATCTGATCAGCCTCTTCTATCATTCACAATGTTGTGCATCTCGCATGACGAGCTCTCCGGCATCTTCTGTCGAATCCCCTCTATATATACTACTGTACTGCCGTGTCGCCTTTACTTCCTACAAAACCGTTGATACTATTACGGGAGGACCAGTACGAATCCCTCAGTACGAGGCTCTTTGTCCATTGGTGTTGGATCAGTTTCAAGAAGGCCTAGAAAAAGGATAGCCGCAAATATTCGTATATGATTATCAGTGGCACTACGTCAGACTTAGGTTACCGCTCCGTTGGATCTCTTCTCCCAACAATAGTCATACTTCTCTCTCTCTCTCTCTCGTCTTCTTTCGCCT